AATGCTTACAATTTGGGCGAAAATTGGCACCAGACAGGGTCTAAGTAGAAATCTAAAAAAAAAAGAGGTGTAGGGACAACTTTATCCCACCACTAAAAATGGCCTTGCTTACCACAACGCACCCCTATCTGGGAAAATAAGCTCACTCATCTGGGGTGGGTACGGACATCTCTACGGTGTCAGGGATCCTATACATCTCCCTAAAGGTCTCCGACTTACTCTCTTCTATGCTCATTGGCCACAAAGACGCCCCCACCTTACACTATAGTCTATGGGGCCCTCTGGCATCATCCACGCACTATGTAGACCCCCTATCACTTCCATGATCTTATTAGTTGGAATTACAGGAAGCAAACTAGCCTTGGCACAAATAATCGCCATGTTCACTCCCTCAGAAGACCCATATTTGGCATTTTTCTTTGAAAAAGAAACCATTAGATGCAACAAACGCGAAATGAGGTAAGATTCTAATACTTATGCCGGCAATGAACACATTGAAGGCTTGAAGTTACAAACGATTGTTGAAAACATAATGAAGATGGTTTGGAGTCTTAGAGAATTCTTGGGAAGCTTTTCGAACGTTTAAGAGCTTTTGCAAAGTGAAAAGAGAAGAAATGGTGAATTTTTTCTCTTTTATATGCAGGTAGTGTGATGCCCATCGGTCGAATTAGCCATAGGAAAATCTCAAGCATACATTTGTCCTTCCATTTAGTACATTAAAACCAAAAGGGCACCTACAAAAATTTGAATCAATGACTCAGATCGCTCCGTGTTATGCACGTATTCAAGTTTCGAGTGATTTCTGCCAGCTATAACAAGTCGTTATCGTCATTGCACAATAAATGCGCACACAATACACGTATGGAGAACCACCAAGCCACTCACCTACTGCGCTTTGAAACCAAGCGATGCTTTGAAATCATTGCAACACGTGCTCCAACAAGTTTCAATTGCTCCAACAGCCTCGTCTCGCTTCCTTCAGCTTTATTACAGGCTTCAGTTGCTCCAACAGCCTCGCCCTCTTTAGCAAGGGCCTCGCCTCACTTTCTTCAACCTTATTACAAGCTTCAGTTGCTCTAACAGTTTCACCCTCGTTAGCAAGGGTCTCGCTTCATTCATCCATATTACAAGTTTCAATTGCTCCAGCAGTCTCCCCTCTTTAGAAAGGGCCTCACATGGCTTTATTCACCCTTATTAAAGGTTTTAATTGCTCCAACAGCCTCGCCCTCTTTAGCAAGAGTTTTGCCTCGCTTCATTCATCCTTATTACGACTTCAGTTGCTCCAACAGCCTCACCCTCTTTAGTAAGGGCCTCACCTCGAAAGTCCACGCACTAAATGAATAATCATACATGGACTTCAGGGACATAATTTTACGTTGCGCCGCTTTTTTCTTCATCGCCAACTTGAAAGTACACGCACTATATGAATAATCATACATGGACTTTAGGGACTATTGTTACGCCTTGATTCACAGGGCCCCAAATATCCTACGTGGCTAGCAAAGATGGAGCCCCACTCCGTCCCGGAATATATTAACATAAGGATGATCTAACCAAACCCCTTCTTGTGGCTGAACTAATATACTTGTCGACCCCACTAAACCACACCGACCCTCACGGGAAGAGCCGATCCGTGAGTGGAGGTGAGGCCACAAAAGGAGCTCAACACGAGATCTCCCAGCAATCTTTATGATATACGATTGATGTGACAATTCACCGTCGCTACTGCCACTGCCAGCCTATCCGATTAAGTCCAAAGCTGCAAAGTAGGCATTATGAATGCTAAAGTGGTATTAACATTTAAGGCATATGATTGATTGATGTCTACGATTAGAGGCATCAGCCGCATGGATGAGGCAACGTGTCTTTCCATCCAACGACCCTCATTTCATATTTTTATAGTATAAAAACTCACACTTAGTACCATTTTGAAGGTAATGCAAGTTTAGACTCTCAAACTACAATTTTTCTATATCACTATTTTATCTATTATTCCCCAAAGCCGACTCCCTTTTTATATTGGAGATTAACGTTTAAAACTCTTTCACACTCATATATTTACTTCTCCAACCAACTTGAACATCGAAGCGCGCAGCCAACTACACCCCCATCAAAGGAAGCCACATATGACCAACGGTTTGTCCAAATGTGCAGGAACGAGACTTGCGTGGACGTAAGAGGCATTATGATCTCTTAACCTGGTTGGAAGTACATTTTTGGGGTCAACAATAAAGGTATTCAATATTGTAAACATATTAATGTAATATAATTTTCTATAATCATATCCCTTATTAAATTTAGATCTTAATATAAAATAATTATTACGAGACTAGCAAGTTGAATATTTAATAAACAATTTAAAAACATGCATCAAAGTCGTGTCTGATCCTCGTGGCGTACCCTAGTGTTGCATCTGCACCAAGAAGCTTGAATTTGTCGTGTTTAGCAATTATATCTAGCATTTTGTTTGTTAGAAATTAAAATCTAAATTAAAATTTAAGTCAATGTCAATAATTAATTTTAATTATACATTTCATGAGATCCACATTTCAACCACATATTTTATCAATTTTTATCAAAATTTGCTAAAAAATTGATTTTAATCTCCACCAAATAGGGGCTAATAACAAATAGATGTAAATAATTAATAATTGGGACATAATAAAAAGGTATTGAAATTAATACACCAATAAAGCACAAATGGGAGAAAACAACAATTAATTTGTTTTGATTTATCAAACCTACTAATCATCGTGCCGTCATTAGCTTATGCTCTTTGTAGCCTTGATTGGTTGGTTTATCGACATTGCATGTAATTTAGTTGTTTATTATATATTGTAGTCCAACAGTGCTTCTCGAAAAGGGAACATAAATCATCGTGAGAGTATGAGACCTATGTTATTTTGGCGTTTGTCTTATGTTACTCTAAAATTTACTTTAATTTTTTTACTTCCCTTCTTATGATATTTTCACTTTTTGGTGGGTAAGCGAGCTCGCTGCAAACATGTGTGCCAACTTGATATCGAACGGGGGAGATTTCAATATAACAAAGTAGATATACAAGTCAAGGCAGATATCGACTTGACTTTGACATGCTTACTCAAGGTATAATACCGAACTCGTAATGGAGAAGAAAAGAGATGGAATAAGATGAAGAAAAATTTCATTTAAAAAAAATTCATTTCTAAACATGATATTTGCTAACGTTAAAACAAATTAATCTAGTTTTCGTCAGCTTAGTGGAAACAAACCCGAAAAATTAGGGAAGAAGGTCCCACTAGTTGCTTTTACAAATGCGGCGATATGTGGTGCGGCTTTGGTTAATGAAGAAAGCATATAAATAAATCAAATTCATGGTGGAACCCATCAAAAAGATGCCCCAAAGTGGGGGAAAAAGAAAAATCTATTCCTCCCAATAATTTACACAATTTCAAAATGAAACGATATCCAAAAACTATGCCGACGCCCAATTCGCTATAAGAAATCTAACATACAAATTTCACGCTTTAATAAGTGAATTACATATTAAAATTTTTTAAAAAATTATATTTTAGTATGAAATAAAATAAAAATTACAAAAATCGAATATATGTACACATACAATTAAGTTGTTTGTACATTAAGTTTGACACCTTGTTGATGATGGATGACATGACAAGATTGTGATGCTTGAATTAAAGAATCATGCTAAAGTGATATACTCAATGACAGATTCAAAAACGGGGGGACATGTGTCAACGTATGATTAAACAATTAAAAAAAACACCGAATTAGGTGTTGCCACCCTTTCTTGTAACCCCATCCCTGTCAAAAGCCGATGTTCAAGGAGCATTATTAGGAATTAAATGTGTGAGATATGAAAGATGATGTGAAACTGTGTCAGTGTAAATTAGATAAATCATAGTGTAAACTACGATATGCATATTGTATATATATATATACAACAAGTGGAAGACTTCTTCCCCCATCTAAATTAATAAATATATTGTACCGTCTATTACATGACTCTTTACACCCTCCAAAAGCCCTCTCTTTCTTTCTTGGTAGTAAAGGCCAAAGGCATGCAGCGTCACAAACCCACCTGTGTTTCCAATGAAAAAAGAAAAATGAAAAATTTTCAATTAATTCACTTGCTCTTTGGATAATTATGAATTGCTGAGTAATGCTTAGACCAATCTGAGGTGTAAGCAGGTCAAAGTTTTACCCCCTTCCAATTGTGTTGGATTTTTGAGGTTGCTTCTTCATATATTCTTTTACGTTTCCTAGAGTACAATTTATAATAAGTACAAGTATTTTGTGTGGTAACTATGAAAGATATTTCCATGAAAAATGCCAATAAAGTTGCTGTGGAAAATGGTGAATGATGATACATATTGATGGTGACTTTTCACTCCAAAATATTGATGTAAACTATGTAAGATACAACAAGAAGATTAGACATGAAAGGCGGAAATAATCCGAAAAACATTTTTACTTATAATTCACGATCATCGTAATTTACCATATTTATCTTGATTTCATTTGCTATCATCAATCACAACTTTTCTTTTTCCAAAATATGTGAATTATTTTATTTTATTTTATTTTTATTTTTTTGCTCGTGATTACTTGTAGAGTTCCTCTCTACTTGCGAGAATGTCATTGTAAATTCAATGCAACGAGAATGGAAAAGATACAATTAAAATATGAAGAAATAAAATTAAAGAAAGCTAAAATCAAATTATTTATTCAAATTCAAGAGACATTAGTATTAAAAAAAAAAAGGGAAATGAAGAGAGAATTATTATCTATAGAATTGAAGATGGAATCACCGATTTTCACTTTCCCCTTTCTTTCTACTCATAACCAAGAAGAGAAATAGGGAAATCTTGTGCCCATGATCTACAAAAACTCGCCGGGGTTCTACACCGGGAAAATCCTTCAAACTCAAAATATAAAATTAAAAAAGGACAAGGAATACAGCTAATGCTAATGACAACAATTTTACAGCTTTCCTACAACTAATTGAATAAATTTAGAAGCTTTGGTTTACTTGGTAGCTGATTTTCACATGTAGTTGTCCCTGATTCTTCAGAATTCATGGAAGGGCTCCCCAGTCGCCGCTTCTCAGACAAAGAGGTTAAATTTTTACTCTCAAACCCTGTATTTAAACTAAGATCAAGATCAGCTACTTGATTAAAATTTCCAAGTTCATCGGGTAAACGACTGTGCTTTTGCACCTTGAGCCTTAAATTTAGGCTAGGATCTTGGAGCTCATCAAGATCCGGTGGAGCACCAACAAACTCCGAGATCGGCAGCAGTGTGCCGCCTTGGAGGATGGTCTCAACCGCCGACTTGCAAACCTGCCAGTTTCCTGTGGATAAAAGCCCCACCGCACCATTCACAGGGTTCACTGTTCTTCCAGCAGCTTCATATAACAAGGACTGGAAAACAGCTGTACATATACATATACGGTAACAACTTCAATTTTTCTTCATGACCAAGTATTTAAAAAAATTAAAGAAATTAAAAATTCACGACAGCATCGAGAAGTTGAATAAATACCAGGCCTTTGGTTTACAGGGACGGCCGAAATGAAGGAGGTGAGACCAGCACGGCCAAAGAACTTGGCTAAAAAGACAGTGGCATAACCTTGGGCTGTAGAACTTTCAATCCATTGTAAACAAGGCCTAAGAATACAATTCTCACTGCATCCCTTTCGAAGAACTCGGCATCCATTGCAACTCATATCGAAATGACAATTACAAGGGATCGAATAAAGGAATTTTGAGGAAAGGTTTTTGGGGTTGAATAAGAAAAGGGGAGATAATAGACTCCTTTGGCTCCGAGAAACAGTCCTAGAGACAGTGAGTAGAGATGTATAGGTTTGAAAAGAAGAAAGAAGGGTACATATATAAAGCAAAGATAAAATTTCTAGGAAACAAAAAAAGGTACATGTACAAATAGAAGGAGAAAAATTTTAATATTCTTGAAATATAATATTTTTCGTTAGTATTTAATCGACAAAAGTATGATTGAAAGTTGATTAAAATTACAGATCCCACGAATGTGTACTTAAACCCTGTTTGATAGCCATTATAAAGAGATAGTGAGAGAAAATGATATTTTAAATAGTAATTTTTTGAGAATGTATGAATAAAAAGTATGAAAAATTTTTAAATTCACGTGTAAAATATTTTATTATATGGATGTATGATTGAAAATGAGTATGAAAAATAAAGAATTTTAATTTAAATAGAGTCAAATAGGAGCTAAAAATGAGTTTGAGAAAATGATTTTTTTTTTTTTTTTTTTAAATGAAGGCCAAACAGGCATAATGTTCCGGGAGTAACGGTATTTTTTTCGAAGATGAGAACTGGGTTGAAGTTTATTTTAGCTAATTAGAGTAGGGTAAATGGAATGGCTGGGTTACATTCCCAATTATTGGGTGACGGCGGCTCCGAGTTTCCGCGAATGGCTGTTCCTCAACCGTTGGATTCTTCGTGTCTTTCTGGATAATGGTTGTCTTGATATCCTATTCTGTAACCCTATTTCTAGCATAATATTTTCTTTTCAAATACTCAACATCTGAGCCCTATTTTTGTTAATAATAGATTAATAAAAAATGTCTGATTAAAAAATAAAGAAAAAATTTAAATTTACGTATAATATTATTTTATTAAAAAATGTGATTAAAAAGAAAAAGAGATAAAAATAAATTTTAAAAATAATGAAGATCAAATAATGACACAATGCACATTCATTTACATAATAAGGTCACGCATATTTAAGAAAACATAGTCATATGATATACCTTAAAGTGCGTGTACGGTGCACCGAATTTGACCAAGTAAAGATTAAATTAGTGTAACATAGTATTTGAGGTAAATAATATGATAATTTTATTAATTCGTTCAACTTTTACTTATGATGTTTACCAAATAAAACAATTCAAGGTAGGGGCATGATTGAATGGTGGATTAGAAGCATACGATACCTCACAAACATCATAACTCACTTTTGTNAAAAAATTTGCAAACCCCTTCCTAATCTTGGTACAAAAATCTTTCACGCCATATTGCAAGGACAAGAAAGTTCAATGAATGACTAGCCAAGTTTGAATTGTAGCCAATGCTTTTCCCCCACTTGCAATCGCCAATTCAATCCACCTGCATGCTGACAGCTAGCAATGTCCCACCCCAAATGGCTACATTTTCACACAAATCACAAGTTTCATTTCGGCGTTGTAGAAATAGTAAGCATCACTCCCATGTGCCAAATCAAATCATAATTCACACGGCATATGTTCATGAAGACAAGGTTTATGAATGATGTAATCGGTGTTTTCCTATGCACTTGTATTATTTGATATCGAATAACTTTGTGGACAAAATACATGAATTTTTCATGTGTCAAAATATTGTTTTTTTGCATTTATTGGAGCATCTTTGGGAGATGAATGATTTTATGCTAAGCATCAACAACCTGTCAAACAATCTATCCACCAATAAATTAATATATCATGTCACCGGTGTTTAGCATAATATGAACATCAGTGCTAATTGAATCATTTCTCATCATTCTCTTTGAGAACGGTATAGCGACAAAATTGTGAAAGATGCAATTCGACCTACTTCGTACCTTTGTAAAAGTAATTCACAAGCCATAGCAAGGGAATAATTGAAGGACCACCCGCCTAATCCTGAGAAAATTAATATAGAAATAGAAATTCTCTATCAATGCAAAAAAGCCATCAGGATGGTGATGATATTTACGCAATTTCATCCAAATTTGTATTAGCGGGTTCCTCTTAAAGATAGTCTTCAAATCAGTGACGGACCCAGGATTTTGTGTCAGCACGGATGGCCGTGAATCGTCGACCGTTATTGACAATAAAATATTAATTCCTCAACCAAAATGATGATAAGTATACCCACTATACGTATATGTTTAAATTATTTACGGAATATTTACTTTAGGGTGAATTTTTTGTTCTACTACACTTGAGAGTGTGTGCGTG